TCAGATGAGACGAGTGTCCTGTATCAGATGAGACGAGTGTCCTGTATCAGATGAGACGAGTGTCCTGTATCAGATGAGATGAGTGTCCTGTATCAGATGAGACGAGTGTCCTGTATCAGATGAGACGAGTGTCCTGTATCAGATGAGATGAGTGTCCTGTATCAGATGAGATGAGTGTCCTGAATCAGATGAGATGAGTGTCCTGTATCAGATGAGATGAGTGTCCTGTATCAGATGAGACGAGTGTCCTGTATCAGATGAGACGAGTGTCCTGTATCAGATGAGACGAGTGTCCTGTATCAGATGAGACGAGTGTCCTGTATCAGATGAGACGAGTGTCCTGTATCAGATGAGACGAGTGTCCTGTATCAGATGAGACGAGTGTCCTGTATCAGATGAGACGAGTGTCCTGTATCAGATGAGACGAGTGTCCTGTATCAGATGAGACGAGTGTCCTGTATCAGATGAGATGAGTGTCCTGTATCAGATGAGACGAGTGTCCTGTATCGGATGAGATGAGTGTCCTGTATCAGATGAGATGAGTGTCCTGTATCAGATGAGATGAGTGTCATGTATCAGATGAGATGAGTGTCCTGTATCAGATGAGATGAGTGTCCTGTATCAGATGAGATGAGTGTCCTGTATCAGATGAGATGAGTGTCCTGTATCAGATGAGATGAGTGCCCTGTTTCAGATGAGATGAGTGCCCTGTATCGGATGAGATGAGTGTCCTGTATCGGATGAGATGAGTGTCCTGTATCAGATGAGATGAGTGTCCTGTATCAGATTAGATGAGTGTCCTGTATCAGATGAGATGAGTGTTCTGTATGGGGTAAGATGAGGGTTCTGTATCAGATGAGATGAGTGTCCTGTATCAGATGAGATGAGTGTCCTGTATCAGATGAGATGAGTGTCCTGTATCAGATGAGATGAGTGTCCTGTATCGGATGAGATGAGTGTCCTGTATCGGATGAGATGAGTGTCCTGTATCAGATGAGATGAGTGTCCTGTATCGGATGAGATGAGTGTCCTGTATCGGATGAGATGAGTGTCCTGTATCAGATGAGATGAGTGTCCTGTATCAGATGAGATGTCCTGTATCAGATGAGATGAGTGTCCTGTATCAGATGAGATGAGTGTTCTGTATGGGATAAGATGAGGGTTCTGTATGGGATAAGATGAGGGTTCTGTATCGGATGAGATGAGTGTCCTGTATCAGATAAGATGAATGTTCTGTATCAGATGAGATGAGGGTTCTGTATCGGATGAGATGAGTGTCCTGTATCGTAAGAGGCAAGGGCAGGCGAGTCACGTGCCCTGCGGTTTCAGATCTTCACTACAAACTTCACTTCTGCACCCAAAACAAACAGCAAAGCCACTCCGAAACCCCCTCGTCATTGCTTCCCCTCCACGTCTTAGCTGCCATATCAACAATTCGAACACGATCGCGTAATGCTTGGAGCTACCAATAATAATATCTTTGAGCGTGCGGCGAGTGTCTACATATGCACCTAGCCTGGCACAAGCGCCGCCACGGGGACATCACCGCCACTTTCTGACGATGTGCATGTGCGTGCATTGCGTGCGCAGCGTTGTGTGTAAGTGAAGCCAAGGTGGGTAACTCCAGTCCAAACGTCGGCATCATATACCGAGTGGAGTGGTTGTGCGGCGTCAAGGGAATGGCAACTACCGCACAACGTCCGGGACCTCAACGAGCAGTCGCGAGCGGGGACCCTGGAGCACCGCCAGCGGGGACCCTGGGGCATGGCGAGCGGGGACCCTGGGGCATGGCCAGCGGGGACCCTGGAGCATCACGAATCTGCCTCTGTCGCGAGCAGCCGAGTCCCAGGGACGTCCCACGCACAGGCGACTCGGTCGCAAGCAGCCGAGTTGCATGCAACCCGGTCGACTGGGTGTGAACGTAACCCGGTCGACTGGGTGTGAACGTAACCCGGTCGACTGGGTGTGAACGTAACCCGGTCGACTGGGTGTGAACGTAACCCGGTCGACTGGGTGTGAACGTAACCCGGTCGACTGGGTGTGAAGGTAACCCGGTCGACTGGGTGTGAACGTAACCCGGTCGACTGGGTGTGAACGTAACCCGGTCGACTGGGTGTGAACGTAACCCGGTCGACTGGGTGTGAACGTAACCCGGTCGACTGGGTGTGAACGTAACCCGGTCGACTGGGTGTGAACGTAACCCGGTCGACTGGGTGTGAACGTAACCCGGTCGACCGGGTGTGAACGTAACCCGGTCGACTGGGTGTGAACGTAACCCGGTCGACTGGGTGTGAACGTAACCCGGTCGACTGGGTGTGAACGTAACCCGGTCGACCGGGTGTGAACGTAACCCGGTCGACTGGGTGTGAACGTAACCCGGTCGACTGGGTGTGAACGTAACCCGGTCGACTGGGTGTGAACGTAACCCGGTCGACTGGGTGTGAACGTAACCCGGTCGACTGGGTGTGAACGTAACCCGGTCGACTGGGTGTGAACGTAACCCGGTCGACTGGGTGTGAACGTAACCCGGTCGACTGGGTGTGAACGTAACCCGGTCGACTGGGTGTGAACGTAACCCGGTCGACTGGGTGTGAACGTAACCCGGTCGACTGGGTGTGAACGTAACCCGGTCGACTGGGTGTGAACGTAACCCGGTCGACTGGGTTTGAACGTAACCCGGTCGACTGGGTGTGAACGTAACCCGGTCGACTGGGTGTGAACGTAACCCGGTCGACTGGGTGTGAACGTAACCCGGTCGACTGGGTGTGAACGTAACCCGGTCGACTGGGTGTGAACGTAACCCGGTCGACTGGGTGTGAACGCAACCCGGTCGACTGGGTGTGAACGTAACCCGGTCGACCGGGTGTCAACCCAGCTTTAAACTAGACGCGGGATTTTGATTTAAAGCTTTCGTGACTGCAGTAATTCATATTCTTAGTTTTTTCGGTAAAGTCACGTTGAAGGGAAACAACAAAATAATAAAGTATATATTTTATTATTTTGTTGTTTCCCTTCAACGTATTTTATTATTTTGTTGTTTCCCTTCAACGTGACTTTACCGAAAAAACTAAGAATATAGACGCGGGATCTTTGTGCGTGTGTGAGTATTAGTGCACTGCTGAAGGGATCTGTGTGTGTGAGTATTAGTGCACTGCTGAAGGGATCTGTGTGTGAGTATTAGTGCACTGCTAAAGGGATGTGTGTGTGAGTATTAGTGCACTGCTGAAGGGATCTGTGTGTGAGTATTAGTGCACTGCTAAAGGGATGTGTGTGTGTGAGTATTAGTGCACTGCTAAAGGGATCTGTGTGTGTGAGTATTAGTGCACTGCTGAAGGGATCTGTGTGAGTATTAGTGCACTGCAAAAGGGATCTGTGTATGTGTGTGTGAGTATTAGTGCACTGCTAAAGGGATCTGTGTGTGTGAGTATTAGTGCACTGCTAAAGGGATGTGTGTGTGTGAGTATTAGTGCACTGCTAAAGGGATCTGTGTGTGTGAGAGTATTAGTGCACTGCTAAAGGGATCTGTGTGTGTGAGTATTAGTGCACTGCTGAAGGGATCTGTGTGTGCGAGTATTAGTGCACTGCTAAAGGGATCTGTGTGTGTGAGTATTAGTGCACTGCAAAAGGGATCTGTGTATGTGTGTGTGAGTATTAGTGCACTGCTAAAGGGATCTGTGTGTGAGTATTAGTGCACTGCTAAAGGATTCTGTGTGTGAGTATTAGTGCACTGCTAAAGGGATCTGTGTGTGAGTATTAGTGCACCGCTAAAGGGATCTGTGTGTGTGAGTATTAGTGCACTGCAAAAGGGATCTGTGTGTGAGTATTAGTGCACCGCTAAAGGGATCTGTGTGTGTGAGTATTAGTGCACCGCTAAAGGGATCTGTGTGTGTGAGTATTAGTGCACTGCTGAAGGGATCTGTGTGTGTGAGTATTAGTGCACCGCTAAAGGGATCTGTGTGTGTGTGAGTATTAGTGCACCGCTAAAGGGATCTGTGTGTGTGAGTATTAGTGCACTGCTAAAGGGATCTGTGTGTGTATGTGAGTATTAGTGCATCGCTAAAGGGATCTGTGTGTGAGTATTAGTGCACTGCAAAAGGGATCTGTGTGTGTGTGAGTATTAGTGCATCGCTAAAGGGATCTGTGTGTGAGTATTAGTGCACTGCAAAAGGGATCTGTGTGTGTGTGTGAGTATTAGTGCATCGCTAAAGGGATCTGTGAGTATTAGCGCACTGCTAAAGGAATCTGTGTGTGAGTATTAGTGCACTGCTAAAGGCAACTCTAATCCTTTGAGCAACGTATTTCGGAAGGGCATCACGCGTGCTATATCCCCATGATGCTATAGTGCAAACATTTGAGTGATTCCATATTCTAGGCAAAACAACTTACAGGGTCCACAAGGGATCGGGGGGGGGGGAGGAAATGCCACCGGCGTCGGAGAGACGTCACTCAACAACTTGGAGGTCGTGGAGTTCAAATCCAGGTGAGTTATGGACGTAGCCCACCGCGATCGTTATCAATTTAACAATCAGATATTTGAACAATCATTATAATTAAACAATCATTATAATTAAACAATCATTATAATGATCGAAATCGTCGTCACTGTCATCATCGCCTTCACCATTATCGATCATCATAACACCGTCGTCGATGTCATCATCCAGTGTCGATAAAACAATTAGCACCAAATTGGTGGGGAGTTGAGAATGGGTCGTCCCCGTGGATGGACTGGACACTCGTCAGTAATAACGTGGAATGTCCGCTCGCTTCGCACAGAGTACGTCGATGTATGTTGAACTTCTTTTTCGCACCGCACGTAGCCGACCGTGCTGAACGGAGGAGGTGCAGGCGGGTTACGACAACCAAACTGAACACAAAAAGGCCGCTGCAAATAAAGCAACAGTGGGTGGCCCCGTGTGTTAAATTGCCAAGCGAGTGACAATGCAGCGCAACTTACAACGCTGGCTTCAATCCCTTGATTCAAAACAAAATACGTAACGTTCATGATTGTAATACTGGCATAGCATTTATTGCAATCTCTGCACCTCTCTCGCTCTATGTTTTTTTATCCTCGCCATAGGAATGTGGAACTTCCACCACTGGCTAACGCTGAAGGCCACACATACGTGCACAGAGCCCGTTCTGTCGATGCAATGATGGATGATGGCCCCCCCCCACACTCACCGGAGTGTTCACCATACTTCACCACGCCGGTGAGTGCGGGTTGATGAAGGCGGGGAACGCATAGAAGTGCAGTCCAACCTCTGCTGCTCAGCCGCCTAGCCTTTTTAGTCCGTGTACAAGTAAAGGCGCAGCTCCGCAACCGCTTGCTCACGCCACCGCTGGCAGGAGGGGGCCTCGGCTGGAGAGAACTCCAGAGGTCCTCTAGTGGAGGGTATTTGGCCTACTCTTCCACGCTTCTCGCTACTCTTCCACGCTTCTCGCTACTCTTCCACGCTTCTCGGCCCACACGGTGAAATAGAAATCAATTCCGCAGATAAGCAGCGTCTGTAGGTAGTATGGCTCTGTGTGTGTGTGTGTGGATTTCATGAATAACTTATAACGGAATTTACACAAGAATGCATATGGCTGGTTCATTATCACGTACATTACCATGCAAAATAAAAACATCAAAACGTACTTTAAAAAAATACCTTTAATACTTTAATCGATACCCATAGTGCATCGCAGAAGAGTAGTGCCACCCTCGAGGGTATTTTGGTGTACTCGTGCACACTGGATAGGCCTTCTTGGAAGAGGTGAGCAGTGATCCACGCTTCACTCCAACCGGCACGATCGACCTGCCCACCTAACAACTGTGGCACAGCCCATCTGCTGTACACCGACTAGGAGATGTTAACTACCTCGCCTGGTATACAGGAGGTTGTGGTTTCCATCTCAACCCAGACGCCTGCTGCTGTATATTTGAAGTTTGCGTGTTTCTCTCTCCCCGTGGATTTTTCTCTGGATCCTCTGGTTTTTCCCTCCATATTTAAAACCAACATCGCACGTTTAGAGTATTTGGCTGCTATGAATTTCCACATTAGCCATTTCGTTGAGCAACCATTTGTGGCCAGGTTGCTTTTGTGGACCTCACCTGGTCAAATAAAAATAGTTTTTTTAAATTGAGATAGTTTCAGCTGCCATAACGGAGAGAACCAGCGGACCTCCACTGTGCTGCTCAACGTGACGGAACCTCTGTGGCAGCAGCGTCCTCCTCTTCACCTCGCACTGTGAGGAAAATAAGTTCAATTCCCATACAGGACGAGGCTTCTTAATCGCCATCATCATCATCATCATCGTCGTCGTCGTCGTCAGCAGCGTTAGTCCAGTAAGAGGCTGCAGGGGATGAGTGCTTGAGTTGATGAGTTCCTTTAAACACGGACAAACTGAGCCCTTCCATAGGCATGAGGAATGTTGCCACCAGTAGCCCGAGATCATCATTGTTCCTTTTGACCTTTTGCATGTAAGCGTTGCTAACACTGTTGATAAAAAAAGTAAAATTAAGCAGGTCATGAATCGCAGAATTCCAGTTGGAGGTCGACTCAGCCCATCATCATCATTCCTCGAGGGTCAACAAAATTCAGTAACAGTCTTTGACTGACCTCTGTCACAGGAACATGGAATTGGAACTGCTGGCTCAGGGCTGCAAGCAGATTTGGGGGTGTGTCCAACGCCCGTCACGTTTTAAGCGCGAAGATTCTGTGCCACGTGTTTTTTTTTTTGCACCCCATTAATTAAATTTTGGACAAAAAATGTGTCCGTCACGTGCCAGTTTGGTCCGTAAGTCTCGTCCCATCGTAGTAAAACAATATGCTCGTAAAACGTTAAGATGAACATGGCGATTTAAAACCACTGATTCAACGGCTCTTCAGCCTGAAGCATCGCGATTTCGGGTGAATCAACCTACGAAGCGCTAATTTGCAATCTTGCAAAACCATCGCCATTTCCCTTCCCATGATCCTGCGCGTCCTTCTCCACGTCGGACTGCGCCACCTTCCCACCATCCCCGGGGCGAGCGCGCCCACCACGACCCCCTCCCGACGGCGTGGACCATTCCATCGCTCGCATTTGCACCACCACCGTCGCCACTCCGTCGCCACCGTCGCCCCCCCTCCTCCTCTCGCCGGGCCGCGGCACTTCGCCCGTCGCGACGGGGCGGAGGTCGGGGCGGAGCGCTCGCTCCGCCCCGACGGGCGCCGCCACCTCGGGTAGCGGGGCACGGACGGAGGCGGTGGCGGCGGTGGTGGAGTTGGGGAGGGAGGCGTCCGGAACGGGCCGGTCCACCGCGGCGGGGAGGTACGGCCCGAGAAGGCGCATGTGCTCGGGGCAGCTGCGCACCTCCCTGCATATGGTTTGGTAGAGTCCGGCGCAGCTCTGTCTCACCGCGGCCATCTCCACGGTGAGGAGTTCGCGCTCGCGAAGTGCTCGCTCCCGCTCCGACACCTGGGGGGGGGGGGGGAAACGGCGAGGATGGTGAAACATGACAAAGATTCCCGCGTGCAGCCTTGACAAACTGTTGGCGCAAGGGCGGATAAGCGAGCGGCACCTACGTTTGTTCTTGACACACCACCGCTCCCCCACACGCACAACAACAACCACCGCCATTCGCCCTTAGCGGCGGTGACGTCACCACGACGCTTGTGCCAGGCTAGGTGCACGTTGAGGCCACGTCAAGTTTCGAACGCCCGCTGGCAGGTCACGGGGCAGACCCAGGTGCCACGGGTCGACTGACTGCATGACTGGCTGATGCACCGCCTGTGCCCCCTTCTCAGCCACACACACACAGACCTGATCTTTGCCCTGATAGTGCATTGTCTTTGTGCCGTTCGCCTTTTGGTGTTCTCTGGTCTGACACCGGTGGTGGTGGTCAGTCTTGGCCATAAAGAAAGCTGCTGCTGTCTCTCGTGCAGAGCGATCAGTTTCACAGACAATGCATAACATGATTATCAGAGCAAGTTTGTCTGCATGTTCACCGCAAGTACTGTGTGTGTGGTTTAGGCAGACTTGATTCCCTGCAAAAGGATTCTATTTGGTGGTTGAACATTTTAACATTTCCTCTTTAATTGCCAGAAAGGGTAAAAAATAAACTATTCTTATTTTTCGATTTAAAGCTTTCGTGACTGCAAGGATTCATCTTCTTTGGTTCTTTCGGTAAAGTCACGTAGAATGAGAATAAAATAATAAATTAATCAAATAAAATAACGCAATAACGTCGTGAGAATTTTATTGTGTTATTTTATTTTATTAATTTATTATTTTATTGTCATTCCACGTGACTTTACCGAAAGAACCAAAGAAGATGTATTCTTATTTTATTCATACTTTGATACTGGCGGCAAAATGGTCCAATTTTTTACACTTTATCTTATGTGATGTTTACAGAGCGCCTTCACTCAAGGGTGCTTAACGTAGTTTCAAAGACAGCGGCAGCATAGTTTAGGTGGCAGGAGAATAGTTTAGGTGGCAGGGGAATAGTTTAGGTGGCAGAAGAATAGTTTAGGTGGCAGGGGAATAGTTTAGGTGGCAGAAGAATAGTTTAGGTGGCAGTAGAATAGTTTAGGTGGCAGTAGAATAGTTTAGGTGGCAGGGGAATAGTATAGGTGGCAGAAGAATAGTTTAGGTGGCAGAAGAATAGGTGGCAGGGGAATAGTTTAGGTGGCAGAAGAATAGGTGGCAGGGGAATAGTTTAGGTGGCAGTAGAATAGTTTAGGTGGCAGTGGAATAGTTTAGGTGGCAGGGGAATAGTTTAGGTGGCAGGAGAATAGTTTAGATGGCAGTAGAATAGTTTAGGTGGCAGGGGAATAGTTTAGGTGGCAAGGGAATAGTTTAGGTGGCAGGAGAATAGTTTAGGTGGCAGTGGAATAGTTTAGGTGGCAGTAGAATAGTTTAGGTGGCAGTGGAATAGTTTAGGTGGCAGGGGAATAGTTTAGGTGGCAGGAGAATAGTTTAGATGGCAGTAGAATAGTTTAGGTGGCAGGGGAATAGTTTAGGTGGCAAGGGAATAGTTTAGGTGGCAGGAGAATAGTTTAGGTGGCAGGGGAATAGTTTAGGTGGCAGGAGAATAGTTTAGGTGGCAGGGGAATAGTTTAGGTGGCAGGAGAATAGTTTAGATGGCAGTAGAATAGTTTAGGTGGCAGAAGAATAGTTTAGGTGGCAGGGGAATAGTTAGGTGGTAAAAGAATAGTTTAGGTGGCAGGGGAATAGTTTAGGTGGCAGTAGAATAGTTTAGGTGGCAGGGGAATAGTTTAGGTGGCAGGAGAATAGTTTAGGTGGCAGGGGAATAGTTTAGGTGGCAGGGGAATAGTTTAGGTGGTAGAAGAATAGTTTAGGTGGCAGGGGAATAGTTTAGGTGGCAGGAGAATAGTTTATGTGGCTGGGGAATAGTTTAGGTGGCAGTGGAATAGTTTAGGTGGCAGTAGAATAGTTTAGGTGGCAGGGGAATAGTTTAGGTGGCAGGAGAATAGTTTAGGTGGCAGGGGAATAGATTAGGTGGTAGAAGAATAGTTTAGGTGGCAGTAGAATAGTTTAGGTGGCAGGGGAATAGTTTAGGTGGCAGGGGAATAGTTTAGGTGGCAGGAGAATAATTTAGGTGGCAGGAGAATAGTTTAGGTGGCAGGAGAATAGTTTAGGTGGCAGGGGAATAGTTTAGGTGGCAGTGGAATAGTTTAGGTGGCAGGGGAATAGTTTAGGTGGCAGGAGAATAATTTAGGTAGCAGGAGAATAGTTTAGGTGGCAGGAGAATAGTTTAGGTGGCAGGGGAATAGTTTAGGTGGCAGTGGAATAGTTTAGGTGGCAGGGGAATAGTTTAGGTGGCAAGGGAATAGTTTAGGTGGCAGGAGAATAGTTTAGGTGGCAGGGGAATAGTTTAGGTGGCAGGAGAATAGTTTAGGTGGCAGGGGAATAGTTTAGGTGGTAAAAGAATAGTTTAGGTGGCAGGGGAATAGTTTAGGTGGCAGGGGAATAGTTTAGGTGGCAGGAGAATAGTTTAGGTGGCAGGGGAATAGTTTAGGTGGCAGGGGAATAGTTTAGGAGGCAGGAGAATAGTTTAGGTGGCAGGGGAATAGATTAGGTGGCAGACGAATAGTTTAGGTGGCAGGGGAATAGTTTAGGTGGCAGCAGAATAGTTTAGGTGGCAGGAGAATAGTTTAGGTGGCAGGAGAATAGTTTAGGTGGCAGGGGAATAGTTTAGGTGGCAGTGAAATAGTTTAGGTGGCAGGAGAATAGTTTAGGTGGCAGGAGAATAGTTTAGATGGCAGTAGAATAGTTTAGGTGGCAGGGGAATCGTTTAGGTGGCAGTGAAATAGTTTAGGTGGCAGGGGAATAGTTTAGGTGGCAGGGGAATAGTTTAGGTGGCAGGAGAATAGTTTAGGTGGCAGCAGAATAGTTTAGGTGGCAGTGAAATAGTTTAGGTGGCAGGGGAATAGTTTAGGTGGCAGGGGAATAGTTTAGGTGGCAGTAGAATAGTTTAGGTGGCAGGAGAATAGTTTAGGTGGCAGTAGAATAGTTTAGGTGGCAGTAGAATAGTTTAGGTGGCAGAAGAATAGTTTAGATGGCAGTAGAATAGTTTAGGTGGCAGAAGAATAGTTTAGATGGCAGTAGAATAGTTTAGGTGGCAGGGGAATAGTTTAGGTGGCAGGAGAATAGTTTAGGTGGCAGGGGAATAGTTTAGGTGGCAGGAGAATAGTTTAGGTGGCAGGGGAATCGTTTAGGTGGCAGGGGAATAGTTCAGGTGGCAGGGGAATCGTTTAGGTGGCAGGGGAATAGTTTAGGTGGCAGTAGAATAGTTCAGGTGGCAGGGGAATAGTTTAGGTGGCAGTAGAATAGTTTAGTTGGCAGGAGAATAGTTTAGGTGGCAGGGGAATAGTTTAGGTGGCAGGAGAATCGTTTAGGTGGCAGGAGAATAGTTTAGGTGGCAGGGGAATCGTTTAGGTGGCAGGGGAATAGTTCAGGTGGCAGGGGAATCGTTTAGGTGGCAGGGGAATAGTTCAGGTGGCAGGAGAATAGTTTAGGTGGCAGTAGAATAGTTCAGGTGGCAGGGGAATAGTTCAGGTGGCAGGGGCGTGCAAGGGTTGAGGAGGGAGTGACAAGCGGTAGAGGGGGTTACTAAGGGACCACGAAAGGGTGATGGGGAGGGACGGGAAGGAGTGGAGCGGCGAGGGGAGGGACGAGGATGGGCAATAGAGAAGAAGCGAGGATTTAAGAGAGGAAGGGAAGGAGACTAAAGGAAGGGGACTGCTTAATGTACAGGGGCAGTATTGAGTCTATGACCAGTTTTGAGTCTATGGTGTACCTACACACACACCGACACACACACACACACCTACACCACACACACAGATGCACCTACACACACACACACCTACACACCTACACACACACAGACACAGACGCACCAGCTTGCGGATGTCCCCCTCGAGGCCGTTGATGCAGTCCAGCTTGCGCTTGCGACACCGCCGCGCCGCCATGCGGTTCTTGCTGCGCCGGCGAACGTCGTGCACCAGCTCCAGCTGCGCCGCCGACAGAGCGTGGCGCCGCAGCAGCGCCTGGAATTCGTTTCGCGACATCTCGGGCACGCCCGCCACGGGGAATGGCAGCGACACCTGACGCACGCACGCGCACGCACACACACACGCGAGCACACGCACGCACACACACACGCACGCACACGCGCACACACGCACACGCGCACACACGCACACGCATGCGCACACACACACACATGCACGCACACACACCACGTGTGGCTTTAACAGACTGTTGGGGCAAGTGCTGTTAGCGTGTAGCAGCCACCGATGAAGGCCGGCACGGGGCGCACGAGGGGGGTGGGTGGACAGCACCACGCCCGGCCGCCTTTGTCTCCCCGGTACCGATGTTTTTTTACACGCCGCATCAGGTAACTCATTTGAGGCTGAGAGTCGGCCTAGGGGAGGCCCAGGACCGGTTCAGATAATCGCCGCCGGCGTTGGCCGTAAGCGGGAATCCAACCCGGGTCGTGGGGTTCGTAGGGCAGCGTGCTAACCGTTGCACTGCCTCTCCCCACACACGCACACACAGAGAGCCACACAGAGACACACGCACACACAGAGACACACAGAGACACACACACAGAGACACACACACACGCAGAGACACACGCACACACAGAGAGCCACACAGAGACACACACACAGAGACACACACACGCGCACACAGAGACAGACACACAGAGACACACACAGAGACACACACACGCACGCGCACACAGAGAGCCACACAGAGACACACACACAGAGACACACACGCACGCGCACACAGAGACACACAGAGACACACGCACGCGCACACAGAAAGCCACACAGAGACACACGCACACACAGAGAGCCACACAGAGACACACACACAGAGACACACACACGCACGCGCACACAAAGACAGACACACAGAGACACACACACAGAGACACACACACACACACAAAGACACACACGTGCACAGAGAGCCACACAGAGACACACACACAGAGACACACGCACGCGCACACAGAGAGCCACACAGAGACATACGCACACACAGAGAGCCACACAGAGACACACACACAGAGACACACACACGCACGCGCACACAAAGACAGACACACACACAGAGACACACACACACACAAAGACACACACGCGCACAGAGAGCCACACAGAGACACACACACAGAGACACACGCACGCACGCGCACACAGAGAGCCACACAGAGACACACGCACACACAGAGAGCCACACAGAGACAAACACACAGAGACAGACACACAGAGACACGCACACAGAGACAGACACACAGAGACACACGCACACACAGAGAGCCACACAGAGACACACACACAGAGACACACACACGCGCACAGAGAGACAGACACACAGAGACACACACACAGAGACACACACACAGAGACACACACACGCACGCGCACACAGAGAGCCACACAGAGATACACACACAGAGACACACACACACGCACGCGCACACAGAGACACACAGAGACACACGCACGCGCACACAGAGAGCCACACAGAGACACACGCACACACAGAGAGCCACACAGAGACACACACACAGAGACACACACACGCACGCGCACACAGAGACAGACACACAGAGACACACACACAGAGACACACACACAAAGACACACACGCGCACACAGAGACACACAGAGACACACGCACGCACGTGCACACAGAGAGCCACACAGAGACACACGCACACACAGAGAGCCACACAGAGACACACACACAGAGACACACACACGCACACAGAGACAGACACACAGAGACAGACACACAGAGATCCGTCGCCACCGCGGAGGAGGCTCTCTACAAGTAGTACATTGACACTGCTCTCTACAAGTAATACATTGACACTGCTCTCTACAAGTAATACATTGACACTGCTCTATACAAGTAATACATTGACACTGCTCCCTACAAGTAATACATTGACACTGCTCTCTACAAGTAGTACATTGACACTGCTCTCTACAAGTAGTACATTGACACTGCTCTCTACAAGTAATACATTGACACTGCTCCCTACAAGTAATACATTGACACTGCTCTATACAAGTAGTACATTGACACTGCTCTCTACAAGTAGTACATTGACACTGCTCCCTACAAGTAGTACATTGACACTGCTCTCTACAAGTAATACATTGACACTGCTCCCTACAAGTAATACATTGACACTGCTCCCTACAAGTAATACATTGACACTGCTCCCTACAAGTAATACATTGACACTGCTCCCTACAAGTAATACATTGACACTGCTCCCTACAAGTAATACATTGACACTGCTCCCTACAAGTAATACATTGACACTGCTCCCTACAAGTAATACATTGACACTGCTCCCTACAAGTAATACATTGACACTGCTCTCTGCACAGTGTGCGGGTGAAGTTTAGAGGCCAAGGCTGGCAGCACAGCAAGCAGGCCGCGGGCTCACCTCCGGGCAGTCGGGTTTGGATGCGCACGAGTCACTGTCGTCCGAGTACGAGTCCTCGCCGGACGAACTGAAGGCCGTGCCGTCCCCCCCGTACACCGCACAGCCACCGCCCAATGCCGCCGCTGTCGCCGTCGTCGGCGCGTGCGGCGGCTGCGGTTGCAGCGGCGGCGGCGGAGGGAGTTGCTGCTGCTGCGGCGACGGTTGTGTCGGTAGCCACGCCGGAGCGAGGGAGGAGGAGGTCGCCGTGGAGCTGACGCGGAGGCCCAGCGAGCGTTGGAGGAAGACGGCGGCCGCTTCCATTTGGGGGCCCAGCACGGGGCACGAGGCGATGGGAGTGGCCGCGGGGAGACGCGGGGACAGAGACGCGGGGAGCGAGGAGGAGGCTGGGGCGGCGCTGCCGGTGGCGTGGCGGGCGGGCAGCCTGAGACCCAACACGGGAGACGGGCGGTGACACGTCGCTCGCGCAAACACCCACGCCATCGGCTCCCTGTGAGCCACGTTTGCCAAGTGCAGCAGGCCCAAGGGCCCAAACCGCAAAGCGGCCAGCAACCAACAGCACTAACTGAAGATATAATAGCTAAGAGTGTGAGGTGAATACCGGAGGAGGTTGGGAGAAGTGCGAGGGAGGAAGCAGAAAGAGAAATGTAGCGACCTGTAGTGTGGCGAGTGGATGGCTGGTTGGGTGGATGAGTGGGTGGGTGAGTGGGTGGGTGAGTGGGTGGGTGAGTGGGTGGGTGAGTGGGTGGGTGAGTGGGTGAGTGGGTGAGTTGTTATGACCTGCAGTGTGGTGAGTGGGTGGGTGAGTGAGTGAGTGAGTGGGTGAGTGAGTGAGTGGGTGAGTGGGTGGGTGAGTGGGTGGGTTGTTATGACCTGCAGTGTGGTGAGTGGGTGGGTGAGTGGGTGGGTGGGTGAGTGGGTGGGTGAGTGGGTGGGTGATGACCTGCAGTGTGGTGAGTGGGTGGGTGAGTGAGCGGGTGGGTGAGTGAGTGAGCGGGTGGGTGAGTGAGTGAGTGGGTGGGTGAGTGAGTGAGTGGGTGAGTGAGTGGGTGGGTGAGTGGATGGGTGAGTGGATGGGTGAGTGGGTGGGTGGGTGAGTGGGTGGGTGAGTGGGTGGGTGGGTGATTGAGTGAGTTGTTATGACCTGCGGTGTGATGAGTGGGTGGGTGAGTGAGTGGGTGGGTGGGTGAGTGGGTGAGTGAGTGGGTGGGTGAGTGGATGGGTGAGTGGGTGGGTGAGTGGGTGGGTGGGTGGGTGAGTGAGTGGGTGGGTTGGTGAGTGAGTGAGTGAGTTATGACCTGCAGGGTGGTGAGTGGGTGGGTGGGTGGGTGAGTGAGTGAGTGGGTGGGTGGGTGGGTGAGTGAGTGGGTGGGTGGGTGAGTGGGTGGGTGGGTGAGTGGGTGAGTAAGTGGGTGAGTTGTTATGACCTGTAGTGTGGTGAGTGGGTGGGTGAGTGAGTGTGTGAGTGAGTGGGTGAGTGAGTGGGTGAGTTGTTATGACCTGTAGTGTGGTGGGTTGGTGGGTGAGGGAGTTGTAATGACCTGCAGTGTGGTGGGTGCACACAGCGTGGACGAGACAGTCATCGTCTGGTACACACCGAGCCCGTGACACGTGGAGCGAGGCATCGTGCCAGGGAGCTTCTTCAGGAAGCGAACGAATTAAACGAAATTGGCTCACCGGCAGGACGTGGAGAGATTCACGGGAGAGGAGCTCGCGTCGGCGATGACGGCGCTCGGGCGACCCTCGCTCCTCACGCCGCTCTCCGCCCGCGCCCCTCCTCCCACGTCGCTGCCAAAGCCGATCCCGCCACCCCGACACTCTCCTCGCTCTCGCTCTCCTTCACCTTCCTGCTCCTTCTTCTCCTCCTCTTCCTCCTCCTCCTCCTCCTCCCGCACGTCGTTCCCCCCCTCCTCTCTCTCGCTCTCCTCCACGCGCCTCATGTCCAGCCGCCCGACAAATCCGCGTCCGCACACGACTCTGCTTGCGAGCGCCGGGCCGGGCCGGGAATCGCCGCGATGAGCGGGGAACCGCGTCTCGCCTCGGTGGTCGAGAGCCGTCGCCGGCGCCACCTCCCCGACGACACCGGTCCATGCCGGGGCGAACGGCGGGTCGGGGCGGCACGGCACGACGTCCCTCGGCGCCGCGGCCGCGCGGTCGCCCGCCGCCCCCGTCCTCGTCTCTTCGCTCGAGGCCCACCACCCCGACATGACGCCCCGGTACGCCGCGCCGTCCTGGTTGCTGCAGGCCACCTGGTAGCGCCGGTGCTTCGGGCACGCCAGAGACGGCCGGCGGTCATCCGCGGCGACGGGGGCGGCCGCCCGGCGGTTGTCGTTCCGAGGGGCTGCGCCGCCGAAGCCGCCGCCGAAATCTCCGAACTCGCGGAAACCCCGGTCGCGTTTGAGCGGCGGGCCGGGAGGGGCGTCCGCATCCCGGTGCCGTTTGTCGCTGGCCCAGTGCGGCGACTCGGCCTCGGCCGGGCCAGCCGCGTCGCTTGGCGGGGCGGCGGCAGCGACGACGGAGGCCGCGGCGGAGGTTACGAGCCGCGCCCCGGGCTCCACCTCGAACACCTCAACGTCGCTGCGTGACTCCGCCGCAAACGCTTTCTTATCTCTGCCAAGGTGGCCGCCGCCGCCGCCGCCGCCGGTGCGAATGGTGCTGACGATGACGCGGCAAGAGGTGTCCATGTCACGCAGCGGGCAGCGGAAGAGGGGCAGAGGCCCCCGCGGGGGGTCGAAGGCGTGAGCCGTCTCCGGCGGAGACCAGCGGCCCGTGGTGACCGCCTCCGCTCGCTTCGAGCATCCCTCGTTCCAGCGCTCAAACGGGCCGGAGTTCTGCGGGGAGACATCGGCCGGTCGCCTCCAGCCTCGGCTGAAAACGCCGCCGCCGTCGCCGCCGCCGTCACCTGGAGTAGCGCAGGGGTCGAGAGAAGCCTGAGCGGCCCTGGCTAAGCCGCAGGCTTGGGCCTTGCTCGGCTCTCGGTCATCCGTTTGCCTCGGGCCTCGGCTACAAACTTTGCTGTCTCTGCTGCTGTTGCTGCTACCACTGCTGCTACTGCTGCTCGCAACTTTCTCTGGGGGAAAGCAGGGGTGGCGAGAGGCTTGAAAGGGCTCGGCTAGGCCGCAGGCGTGGGCCTTGCCGGGCTCCTGCCCGTCAGCCCTCCCCCCCAGCTTCTGCTGCAGAAAGCGGAAGCACGCCTCCTCCAGGGTCCGGATGCGCAGCACGGAGGCCGTGCGGTGGATGTCCTCGTAACTATCTTGGCTCAGGTACAGCTTCCCCGTGTAGGCAAAGTGCAGGATCTGCTCCAGGCCTTTGACGGTGACCTGACAGAAACGCAGAGGTCGTGGGGGGGGGGGGGGAGGGAAACGATCGCAGGTTTCAATGGACGCAAACGTCAAGGCCGTTTCTCGCTCCTTTCAAATGAGACGGGAGGATCTGCCTCACTCGAATTGTCACCCCCTGGTGGATGGTAAAGGTGCAGCGCCGTGACTCCTTGCTCACACACAACACTGTGGAGGGAGAAAATCCTCCGTTACGTTTTTTTGTGTTACCCCCAATTTTCATCCCGAGCGTTAAATTTGATTAGAAATCTCTCAGAGCAGTGTGTCCCTCTGGGTTAGAGAAAGCCCACAGAGCCGGTTATCTCAGAGCTATCCATGTCACCTCTTCATCCACACACTGGGAGGCAAACTGAAGTTTAATGAGTTTTTTTTTTATATGTAAAGCTAATTTTAGGTTTTTCAATGCAATGGATGTTTTTCTGCGGTCGTCAGTGGTGATTGGGCTCCAGCCAGCGACTCTCTGCACCTGAGAGCCGCTGATTTCATCGCAGCCGAGGGGCTGTAACACGGTTTTGAACCCAGGATCTCAGCGTTGCTGGTTCAGGGTTATCACCTCGGGGTCATCTGATCATCTCAGCCAAATGAAATGTAACAACACCTGAAAAGTGCCCTTTCCTTTCCCAGTAAAACTTCAGTGAATCTAAGGACGTGTTCAGTCGGAAATGGGCAGAGGAGAAGGGTAAGGTGTGGAGCCTGTCCAAGAGCTAATAGTCTACAGGTCTCTATGTGAGTCTATGGGTCTCTGTGTGAGTCTGTTGGTCTCTGTGTGAGTATATGGGTCTCTGTGTGGGTCTATGGGTCTCTGTGTGAGTATATGGGTCTCTGTGTGGGTCGATGGGTCTCTGTGTGAGTATATAGGTCTCTGTGTGGGTCTATGGGTCTCTGTGTGAGTCTGTCGGTCTCTGTGTGAGTCTATGGGTCTCTGTGTGAGTCTATGGGTCTCTGTGTGAGTCTATGGGTCTCTGTGTGAGTCTATGGGTCTCTGTGTGAGTCTATGGGTCTCTGTGTGAATCTATGGGTCTCTGTGTGGGTCTATGGGTCTCTGTGTGAGTCTATGGGTCTCTGTGTGAATATATGGGTCTCTGTGTGCATCTACGGGTCTTTACGTCAGTGTACGAGTCTGTGTGTGTGTCGATGAGTCTCTATGTGAGTCTAGGGATCTCTGTGTAAGTCTGCAAATCTCTGTGAATCACAATAGCTCGCTGATCTCGTCAAGGAAGATAAACCATCACGCGAGTTCCGGTCGCGGCTTTTGCCTTTGCCCTCGAACAAAGGCGGTGGTCACCGCATTGCGCAGCGCTTTCAGATGCGCTTTGGCGGCCGTCTGGAATGCTCTTCCTTCCGATGTTATGAAGCCACTGGGAGCTATGGCACTTTTTAATCATCATCTAGGTTGACAAACTAATTTTTCTTTAGAACTGCTTTTTGTGTTTACTTTGTTGTCCTTCCCCCGCACCTCCGATTAGCACGGTTGGCTACGTACGGTGCGAAAGAAGTTCAACACACACATATACATAGGCTGCGATTGAGCCCGCTAAGCACGGCTGGGTAGACAGAGGCTGAAGCGAGACTTAAAAGACTCGCCCCACCGTGCACGTGAGGCGCCCCCCCCCCCCCCCCTCTTGCAAGGGTGCTGTGGATGTAATCCAAAACCGACCCTTGTAGTTTTGTGTTTTACGTGTCGTTATTTCTTGTCATTTCACACGACCTTTTCAAGTCCTCACGTCACGAGGTGAAATCGAACGACAATGAATCCCCCCCCCCATGTGACACCGCCGCCGTGGCGGCACCAAAAAACAAAGATCCCCCATGTAGCCTTAACAGACTGTTGGGACAAGTGCCGTTAACGAGTAGCACCACCTGCGAAGGCCGGCACTGTGGCACACGAGGGGGGTGGGTGGCCAGCACCACGCCCGGCCGCCTTTGCCTCCCCAGTGGCGATGATTGCACATCGCACCAGGTACTCATTTGAGGCCGAGTCGACCGAGGGGAGGCCTAGGACCGGTTCAGATAACCGTCACCGATGTTGGCCGCGAGCGGGAATCGAACTCGGCTCGCCGGGTTTGAAGCGCAGCACAATAACCGCTGCGCCACGGCTCACCACCGCCTCTACCGCCTCCACCGCCTCTACCGCCTCCACCGCCTCCACCGCCTCCACCACCTCTACCGCCACCACCGCCGCTCACCACCGCCTCTACCACCTCTACCGCTCACCACCGCCTCTACCGCCGCTCACCACCGCCTCTACCGCTACCACCTCCACCACCTCCACCGCTCACCACCGCCTCTACCGCCTCCACCGTCGCTCACCATCGCCTCTACCACCTCCACCGCCTCTACCACCTCTACCGCCTCCACAACCTCTACCGCCTCTACCGCCACTCACCACTGCCTCCACCGCCTCCACCGCCGCTCACCACCGCCTCTACCGCTTCTACCACCTCCACCGCCTCCACCGCCTCCACCGCCTCCACCGCCTCCACCGTCTCTACCGCCACAACCCTCCGCGTCGACGGAGGGTGGCCGCATCGTTTGGGACGCGCGGCTCGGCGAGGACGTGAGGCGGTGGGCGGCACCAGGAGACTGCGAAGCATTTCCTGCTTCGGCTACCCATCACCATGGCTGCCTTCAAAAACAGGATGCGTGTCTGTGTGTCTGCGTGTCTGTGTGTGTCTGTGTGTCTGTGTGTGTGCGTGTCTGTGTGCGTGTGTCTGTGTGTGTGTGTCTGTGTGCGTGTGTGTCTGTGTGTGTGTGGGAGTGGTGGTGCAGCGGCGAGCGCCACGCTGAGCTACAAACCCGACGACCCGAGTTCGATTCCCGCTCGCGGCCAACATCGGTGATGGTTATCCGAACCGGTCCCGGGCCTCCCCTAGGTCGACTCAGCCTCAAATGAGCACCTGGTGCGGTGCGTGAAAACATCGCTGCTGGAGAGACAAAGACGGCCGGGCGTGGTGCTGGCCACCCACCCCTCTCGTGAGCCGTTCCGGCCATCAAAGGTGCTCGCTAACAGCACTTGCCCTTACGGTCTGTTAAGGCTATACGGGGGCTCTTTGTCTATTGTATATGCTGCTTACGAAGTTTTGTTCCGTGCTGCCATTCCAGACGTGTGACCCCCCCACCCCATTCCAGGCCTGCGGAGCAACGAAGGGGAAAAGAAGAAACTGCCAACAGCCAAGTGGGAGTGGGTGGGGAGGCGAGGGGGGGAGGGTGAGATGGGATTTGCACTTACGGTACATTTCTTAAGTATGTTTCTTCTCGGGCCCCACGGTGGCTGTGAGATGTTAACTACCTCGCCTGGTATACAGGAGGTCGTGGGTTCAATCCCGACCCTGACGCCAGCTATATATTTGGAGTTTGCGTGTCTCTCTCTCTCTCTCATCATCATCATCACGGTGGCTAGGAGATGTTAACTACCTCGCCTGGTACACAGGAGGTCGTGGGTTCGATCCCGACCCAGACGCCTGTTGCTGCATATTTGGAGTTTACGTCTCTCGTTGAGATATCATTTGTGAAAGCCCTGTCGCTTCTGAAAAATAGCTACGTAGCTTTGTGGGCCCTTTATATTTAAATAGTGCTTTTTTGTCATTTGTCCACGCGATTTTACTTCCGATCGCGCTGCCGGGCGTTGTGTCTCTCCTATTCGTGTTAAGAGGTCATCCCGCAGAAGCGGATGTCGCAGAACTGCCTCCCGAGGCAACTTCAAGTGACCTTTGGTCCACGCAAAAAAAAAAAACAACACCCCCTCACTTTCCAATATTTGTCTGTCCACAAGATAACGGAAATTTTGTCTTTTTTTTACTTTTACATCCCCATTAGCCACATGGCCTTCTGAGAATGCAACTCATTGGCGGCGGCGGCGGCGCCGCGTTTAACACGCAAAAGCTCTGCACCGGGTTTTTTGACATTCAGTGTCTCACCGGTAAAATTGGTCTTTCTTGAAGCAATGCTGGTTTGACCGCCAGCTGTTCAATCGGCAAAGGACACTCTCACTCATGAAAGGGTCCTAGGGTGGCACAAAACTTCTACAATGCCACAGCGTAGCCTGGACCACACGATAGAGGGCAGCAGATAACCACGGGCTCTCTATATGACAGTAAATGTTCATGTCATCTGATACAGAAACAGAGACCACAACAGACTCAGGACTTGAACCTTGAACCCAGGCCGCTTGGTGGCAGTGCTGGCTCAATGTTTCCAACTTGGCCTTCATGAACCCCTTGAGAAAGAGAGACACCCAGACCCAGGCCTTGAACCTTGAACCCTGGCCACCCTTCGATAGTGCTGGCTCAATGTCTCTGCCACGGCCATTACGAATCCCTCGAGAGAGAGACACCCAGACCCAGGACTTGCACCTTGAACCCAGGCCCTTTGGACAGGGCTGGCTCAGTATCTCCGACACGGCCATTATGAACCCCCCCCCACCCCCCGAGAGAAACACCCAGCCCTGGGGCTTGAAAACGGTGACCTGAGCTCGGCAACCCACGGGCGTGAAGTGTTTGTTCCATGCCGTGATGACGAGCGAGACGGATGGAGCTTCCCGTGTCCATGAGGATGAGACACGTCGCGGTGTTTTGCATCTTCGCCAAATTCCCAGCCCCGATTTTCCTCTACCCCGCTCGCCCGCCCGCCCGCCCGCCCGCCCACGGGAACGATGCTGCTGGCAGAAAAACTCACGCCATCGCAGAGAAATCTGCGGCAGCTCGCACACCAGGTCTCACCAAACATTTGCCAGATTTTTGTTGTTCTCAAATACAATAATGGACATTCGCGTAATAATAATGCTTATAATCTGTATTTGCGGTAATATTCCTTTTGGAAAAAAACAAGCTGTCGTCACAAGGAAGGCGCTGCTGTTTGACAGACGGGTATAGCAGTAGATTCACGGCAGAGGGCGATGTCGCGATGTGATTTTAACCAATCCAGTCATTCCTGCGACCGTCAATCTTTAAGAATTGAGAAAATCTTGCCCGTGACGCTGCCACACGTGGCCTTACGTTTGTCGAGTGGCAGCACGGGATGCTTGCTGCGAAGCGGACAGCACGACGCCCCTCGGTACCAACCAGGGCGGCCGCATGGCCTCGACCCACGAGCCCCTGCGACAAGCGCCAACCGCTCCTCGGGCGGCCGCATTGCCCAGCGGCGAGCGGTTGGAATCCGACCAGCCGGCCGGCCGGCCGCCGATTAACGCTGCACGGTTGGCTACGTACGGTGCGGAAGAAGTTCAACATATGGTGCACACATACGTAACCATAAAAATCCAACGACGTGCCTTCAACTTGACTCACGGAGCGAATCGGAGATTCGGCGGTAAAATAAAAAAAACGTTCCTGAACGGGAAGCGTCGAGCCGTGGACAATTCCCCACTGAATCGCTGGGACAATTCCCCTCCTCGAATCGCGAGGTCGGGGGGGGGGGGGGGCGCGTGGCATGAATCCATTAAGAGAAACACCTCGCCCCCCCGGGACGGTTTAAAGAATGGCGCAACAACAACAACAACAAACTCGACGACTTCCCGGATCGCAGCAGCGACTTAAAGCGGCGGCGGTGACTGCAGGGGGTCTAGGTGACTATATAGGTGACATCCAGGTCTCTGATGCAAGTCAAATAGTAACCACATTTTTGTACGTTTGGTACGCACTTCATTCTCGAATTCGAGCGCCGCGCGGGAGATTCCGGCGCATCTCCTCGAGCCGGGCTCCCCCGAGAGTTCCACTGCTGGGTGAAGGGGGCCGAGGGCGCTGTGCGTGCAGTCGGCGAACTGTTCCGTTGTCGGCGATCGCAAGGGGGCGGGGGGGGGGAGGTTTGGGGGTAAACCTGGCGGGAGGCCAAAGCCAGCGGTGGCAGCGGCGGCCTCAGGAAGCCTGACTCACAGGCCGCCACCGCCCCCCCCTGCACCCAACTCCCACACGAGCCGCACTCGCGAGGCCCCTACCGCCACGGCCCCCCCACTCCACCCACCTCCCCCCCCCACATTCGCCGTTTCTCATGCTGGTTTTCCCTCACAGATGTATTTCCGTATTTGTTTGTTAGTTTATACCCCTTAAAAAAAGTGGTTTTTTTTATTTAAATCCAGATCTCATTGCAACGCCTAAAGTCTCAAATAGTTTTTTTAAACTTTTTTTCGGTCGTTTGCTGTGTTAAAATGTCGCGCACTGTTCGCTTTGCCAGTGGACGTCAAAGAGGGCCCCCCCCGTGGCGTTGTTCTAAGAGGAGGCCCCACGTTTGCGAGCCGGCGTCATCGTCCAAATCTGCCGATTAAAAAAATAACTCTTAAATTACTAATTGGGTTATGGCAATTAGCAACGTGGTCCCCTGCCGTGAAACTACTACAGGCTGTGCGTGTGTGTGCAACACAGCGCCTTCCTGATAGCCAAACGTACAAACGATTTGATAACTTTTTGATTTGCAGAACAGACCTGGATGCCACAATTACAGTCACCCAGACTCCCCTTTCCGCCACTGCCGCCCCCCTTCAGCCACTGCCGCCCCCTCCAATCCTCCCACGTACCTCTGCGGGGAGGTTGAACGTGCGCACGTCGGGCGGCCGCTCCGTCGTCGCGCCCGAGCGAGCGGGAGAGGAGGCGGCGGGCGGGAGCGCGAGCGCCGCGCGGAAGAAGTCGCTGCACGCCGCCAGGACGGCGCAGTGCGCGGGGAAGCGGCCGCCTCCCGCGGCGACGCTGGCGTCGCAGAGGCCGCCGGCGGCGGAGCCGGCGCTCGCCGCGGCGCGCCGCTGCTCGTCCAGCTGCCGCAGCACGTCGGCCGCGTGGCCGGGGCGCTCGTACACGAAGGCGGGCGGCGCCGGCGCCGGGCGCGGCGATGACATGACGTCGCTCCCGTGCCCTGCTGGCGCCACGCGAGAGGAACGCGGTCAGGCGGCGGCGACCCGAGGGGCGTAACTTGGTGCAGTCGCAGCGCTGCTGCTGCCCAAGGGGCCTCCATGGACAAGAAGAGGCTCCCTAGGACAGCCCCCTCGAGTGGAGGGTGTTTGGCCTCCTGCCTCTCACGTACGTTGAACTTCTTTCGCACCATACGTATCCGACCGTGCTAATCGCCGGCACGAGTGGAGCACGGTTGGCTACGTACGGTGTGAAAAAAGTTCAACGTAAGTACGCGCATGCATACATTTTAAACTGGCTGACGAAGATCTCGATTCTCACTCTGACACAAGCACGTAAATGGGCGAACCCTTAGACTGGACATCACAGGCTCTGTGAATATGTAGGTGTGTATGTGGAACGTACCGTACGGAGCCAACCGTGCAAATCGGACGTGTGGGGGAAGGACAACAAACTAAACACCAAAATGCAGTTATAAAGAAATTCGTTTTCAAATCAGTATAGTGGTGTAGTGTATAGTAGTGTCGTGTAAAGTGTAGTGGGTAGTTCAGAGTAGTATGTAGGGTATCATGTATGCATGTTGAACTTCTTTCGCACCATACGGAACCAACCGTGCTAATCGCCGGCACGCTTTGGTATTTCCTGCACCTATGGTACAGGCAGAGCGATTCTAATCCACTGCTGGATGAGGGCCTCCCTAACGGCGTGCAGCACGTTGAGGTCGTTTGACCGTACTTCACCACGTGAGGGTTCGTGGACGCAGGGAGCGTGGATAGTGGGGGCATAGAAGTACGGTACAGCAATGGCTTTTGCTGCATTATTGGTCTGCTGCACTCCACGTAGCTCTTCCAGAGCAGCAGCAGCAGTGCCGGATTATCCTAGAAGCAAAAGTAGCCACATATGCTACAAGCCCCGCACTAGCTTAATCCGGCACTGAGCAGCAGCCTGCAGCAGCCTGGCGTGCATGGTGATCGCACGTCCCCACAAACAGATGAAGCTAAAGTTCAGGGCCCCAAGTAGCTCAGGGCCCCCCCCCCCCCCCGGATTCATGGAAAAAGCATTGGGACGAAAGCAGATATCAGCTCAAATTGAAATCCTAACCAACAAAACACCCAACCACAAACACCCAATGGATCTCTCTTATCCCTATCTTGTCTCCATCTCTCCTCTGCTATTTCTCTACATCGCTATCTTTGTTCCACATCTCTCTCTCATCATCACCACGGTGGCTAGATGTTGACTACCTCGCCTGGGATACAGGAGCTCGTGGGTTCAATCCCGAACCTGACTCCTGCTGTATATTTGGAGTGTATACGTTCACCCTTGTATTGCTAAACTTCCCTGAAACACACCGCACATTGTCTAGGATGGCCAAGTGGCTAAAGAAATGAGGGCCCAAGTAATACGCGGCTCTTTAAAGATTGTGATCCTAAAGGTCAAGGGTGCTGCGGTGGCCGGGAGATGTTAACTACCTCGCCTGGTAAACAGGAGGCCGTGGGTTCGATCCCGACCCTGACGACGCCTGCTGTGTATTTGGAGTTTGCGTGTCTCTCTCTCTCTCTCCTCGTGGTCACGTGGATTTTTATCCGTGTCCCCTGGTTTTCCCCTCCACATGTAGACTCAACATCACACATCTAGGATATTTGACTGTGAGAAATGTCAACGTGACGATAAGCCGCTTTGTCGGGCTGTCGTTTGCGGTGGCCAGGTCGCTTCTTTCTGCGACCCTCAATCCTTACTCAGTTTTTTACGTCTCTCGTCCACGTCTCTTCTGTCATCCCGCTCGGGGCCAGCACCCCCACACGGGATCCATCCAAAGCACCATCATCCACAGGGCTCGACCCGGCTTGGCTTTGCACATCCGACACGGTTGGGATCGCGCATGCTCAGCGAGTTCCTTCGCAGGCGCAATGACAACGGAGGCGACCATGAAGCGGTGCGCTCTACGCCACCCCCACTGGCGCTGGCGCGTGTGCGCGTGTGCGTGTGTGTGCGTGTGCGTGTGTGTGCGTGTGCGTGTGTGTGCGTTTGCGTGTGTGTGTGTGTGTGCGTGTGTGTGCGTGTGCGTGTGTGTGCGTGTGCGTGTGTGTGCGTTTGCGTGTGTGTGTGCGTGTGCGCGTGTGCACGTGTGCGCGTGTGCGCGTGTGCGCTCGTCTTGTGCGCTGTGCCCCACACGTTGCTACAACGGCCCGGGAAGCGGCCGCCGGTCGTTGTGTGTTGTTTTTTTTCTCTTCGCGTGGGATGTTTTCGGGTTCCTATACAAACCACGAGGCATTTAAAAGATGTGTATTACTCACGCTTAATCATTCTCTCGGCCGCAGAACCACTCGGAAGTTCCAAAAGCGCCGGCGCTTGGCGCGGAGAGAGAGCGAGCGAGGGAGAGAGCGACGAGAGAGACCGGCACACCCTCTTCATCCATGCGGCTTCATCTCCCTCTCAAGGACCCAACGACTGAGAAAATGTCCTCGACTTTAACCACGAGAACAGGCCGCTGTGACATCCCCTTTACGAAACACCGTCGCCCATCTGAACCATCGCGTGCTCGCCCACCCCCAGCCCCCAACCGATCAGCGTAACCACCCCGGACGCCCCGGTATCCGCAACACGCGCTGGGGGTGTCAACGGTCACTTCGTTAGAGGCGTTCGCATATCCGACTGTCCAGTGCTCGCTGAGCCGCATTAGCTTCCGGTTGCCGAACGAATACGTTATAAGGTCGCACTCATTACACACAAAGCGCTTGCCACAAATGAACCACAATACCTTGCTGATCTCGTCAACGAGCATAAACCATCACGCGACTCCGGTCATCCTCGCAGTGGCGGCTTTTGGCTCAGCAATCGAACGAAGGCGGTGGTCACCGCATCGCGCGGCACTTTCAGATGCGTTTGTGCGGCCATCTGTAATGCTTGTGTTGCAGTCGAAACGTCGTGATAATTTTATTGGTTTATATTTTTATTATTTTATTGTTTCCCTTCTACGTGACTTTACCGCAGGAACCAAGAATATGTGCGAAAGAAGTTCAACATGCATCTCCCCACCCTCCCCCCCAGCGAGTCGGATACGCGACATTGCCGCATTCGACAGGGAGCTCTGGGCGGTTTCCCGGTGCCGTGGTTACCCAGCGTACATTTGCCATCGTGTGGGCCCCCCCCCCCCCCGTTTGTCAAATCCACTGCTGGATGAGGGCCTGGTTGAGGGGTTAGTTGACCACAACTGAACCACTCCGGTCAGTGCAGGTTTGGCGACGGCAGGGGATGCACTGACGTGGGAAGCGTAGAAGTACAGGTCAACAGACTTTGCTGCACCGAACCTCTGCTGCCCGCCGCGTAGCCCCACCAGCGCCGCAAGCCGATGGCACCCCGCTAGGCGTGGTGGTCGCCCATACAAGCGCTGCTATCCGTGGCTCAATGCTGCTTTGGCTTCCGAGATGTGGCGAGATGGAGATGGGGCACAGTCTGGGTGCGTTCCGGGTGCAGGTTGATGGTACTGTAACAGCGCAGCCCTGTAGTCCGTCGACAATTGAGCCGTGGATATATTTGAGTCCAATCACGTCAAACACGGCAGCGCAACGGTCCAGATAAACGCCGGCCATTCTCAATGCACCAAGGGACCAAGGCCTCCCCCCTCATCGCGAGGGGTGTTTGTCGACCATACTTCACCACACCGGTCAGTGCGCGGGTATCGTGGAAGCGGTTGTGGGGGGAAGGGCCGGCCCCCGGACCACGCTCGCCACCGATGCCGGCCGTGATCGGGAACCGAACTCGCGTCGCCGCCGGCTCGCAGCGCGCGCTAACCGCCGCGCCACCGCTCCGTTCGCAACGCCTCGAGCGGGCGACCCCAGCGCGGGGGGCACCGCAGCGACCGCTCTCACGCCACGCGGCACGAAGGGCCCGGTTGGACTCTCGACGCGGACGACTGCCTGCGTAGGGATTCTCTCCCGGTTCCGGGACGTGGCCGGTGTTGACCCCCAAAAACATCGCCAACGCTGAACAATTCCCTGCAGGTTACTCGGTTGGGATGACACAGAGCAGCAGCAGAACCAGCGGTAGCAGCAACAGCAGAAGCAGCAGCGTTGCCCCCCCCCCTTACTGCGAAATCTTGGCAGGGGCCTCCTGAAAACGAGCCTTGAGACTCGGTGTGAGGCCATCCCGAAGTAAGCGGAATAACAAGACTTGTTCAGCGATTAGCGCGAATAACAGCACAATCCTATTAGCAAAAAGTACACCCTCTTAGCAAACAGCACAACCCTCTTAGCAAACGGCACACCCTCTAAACAGAACGGACACCCTATTAGCAAACAGCACACCCAATGAGCAGATAGCACAACCCTATTTTCAAATAGTGCACCCTATTAGCAAACAGTACACCCTATTAGCAAACAGTACACCCTATTAGCAAACAGTGCACCCTATTAGGAAACAGCAGACTACCCTGCAACAACCAAAACAACAACCTGATCTTACAGAGGGAGTGAAAGTTAGTCGGTGACAGTGCAAGTACAGTAGGGCGTGCATTGTGACAGTTGCCAAGCGGTTGGCGGGGGGAGACATTCCCCGCATTGTGCCCAGTCACGCCCGGCGAGGCCTGCCCATCGTGAGCCCCTAAACGTGGTGTGGGGATGACAAAGGTGCCATTCTCAGCATGACTCGTCAGAAGTGTTGGTTTAAGTTTGCCGTCCCTTGTTGTCGATGGCGGTGATGGGGGTGGTGGTGGCGGCGGTGGTGGAGGTGGCGATGGTGGTGGCGGTGGTGGCGGAGGCAGTGGGGGCGGTGTTGAGGATGAGTGGGTGACAGGGATCGCTATCGCCCGTGTGAAACTGATACCAAAATCTGAACGCGATTGGGTTTCACGTCGGTTTATCGTCTCGCGCGTGGATTCCTGTGGGTGCAGTGGAAGCCGTCCCCGATCGCCTCAAGTGGCACGGGTGGCAGGGAGTGGGGGGGGGGGCAGGGGTGGCCACCCGTCCTGGCTGCCCCTGGGGGCCCTCCTCGTCCTCCTCCTCTGGG